CAAATTCATATTAAATGGTTGCAGGCAATTGGTAGGAAGCCCTTTAGGACGCGGTTTTCGTGCCTATCGACACTTATCAATAAAACCAAAATCATTGAGCTAAGAATATCCTTCTCGATATATATATATATATATATATATATATATATATATATATATATAGAATATTCTAGATTAGTAGTCAATAACAATATTAGTGTTTTTTTAAAATAATATCGATTTGTTAAGTAAGATCCCAACGGAATTACAGTTCATTGAAGATGCTTAAACTATAGTAATAATGAAAATATAATAGCAAATAGAATACCAACTAAAATTAAGGAAATTTCTACAAAACATTGGGGATAATTCACACCTAGATGGCCAAGGTAAGGATGATGTCTGAACTAACTTCTTTTGGACACATAAATTAAACTTCTTAATGTGGATCCCAACAACCAGCCTCAGCAATATTTAGTAATCGAACTGTTAAGGTGAAACTGAGATCTGTTGGTGTGCAGTAAATGACTTTGGAAGCCGCCTCATTGACATCAACCTTGTGTTCTGTATTCACAAGATGAGATAGAATAGAGCTATGTGGATGGATTTTGTTTGTCCTTCACTTAACCACTACACAGGGTGATATTCGGAAATCCGACGAGAAAGCGTATCTGAAATGTCAAAGAAATAGATATTACCTTGAGAGAGAGAGAGAGAGAGATTAAAATCTGCACTGCAAGATGATTGACTAAGTGGATCGGTACTATACTGAGAACAGTTTTGAACCATTTGACTAGCACAATCAATCTTTTTCTGTTGGATCTTTTGGTCTGCACAATATCAAATGAAGTGATTGTTCTGGCTGGCTGGCTTGAGTGCAATATCTATTTCAAATGGTCTTAATGTTCTAGATCCTATTTCGGGGATATTTTCTATATGTGTTAAGATGAATTTTCTTGTGTTCTTTGATGATGGTTTCTTGTTGGTGTCATGACTCGATTTTAAACACTTTTTGATGAAATTGCGGCGTGGATATCCATTCGTTTTGAAGACGGTTATTAGGTATTTTTCTTCCATTCTTTTCAACTCTAGAGTGCTACAGTGTGTTTGAACTGTTAGAGAACACAACTAATTCAATGTTTATTTGATAGTCAGATATCATGTCTACGTCAGAGATGACGTAAGCTGTCAAGTGCCAAATGAGCTTTTTCTATCCATGCTGAGATTTCATCAGAAATCATCTACTTCATTCCTTACCTTCAAACTAGGAGCCGGTGGAGAACAGTCCTGAACTATCATCTTACATTTGACATGGACGAATCGTGTGTCAGACATTCGTAAACTTCTATTCAAAGTGTTCAGAAGACTCTGCATTTTATCAGCACTCCCACCTAGGATGATAACATAATCTAAATACTCAAAGTCCCTAAGTCATTCAGGGTCATATTCATCAGTACATTTATAGTGAAATTAAGCAAAAGTAGACATCTGTGTTGGACACCACTGGTTATCATCATTTTAAATGACTACATCCCATTAGCTCGATCACCTGATGCCAGAGGCAGAGACGTTACCACTGATTTCGCTATTCAGATTCACGAATGATCTCATGTAGGTCTGCAATGGATACATCACTTGTTTATGACTGAATAACATATACCAGGGATTTAGTCCTTCGTTTTTGTGCTGAGTCAATTCTATCATACAGTTCTGCAATGTGATCATCAAACTAGGTGACTGGCTATCAGTGTGCACTATGAATTGATGTTAGGTAGTTGGAAGCGGTCGAAAGGAAACCTAATTCACATCACCTTGTATAAGATGATGCATTTAGCGAAATACTTTATCATTACAAGTTAAACTACTTATTAATAGTTAGTAGTGTAAATATATAAAACAAATTACAAAATTGTCATTATTGAGGGGATAGCAACATCATTCAAGGAACAGGCGATGTAGCTTATTTCATTCAGTCGTGAGTGTGTCACTATCCAAAGTGTGGTACTTTGAGTAGACCCAAATTCGTATACATTTCGTTCTATCTAGCATTTCTGAGGTTGCTATACGTGTAGAGCTTTTAAACAAACTCAAATCGTAGTGAAAAGGGGTTCCGATTACAGATAGCAGGAATCCTATTCATTGAGGTATTGATAACACTTTCTTACCTCCCTATCATATTTAACGACACCACCTCATCAGCTGAGCGTGAGCTTGTTCGTTGTCCTTTCTAACCGGCCATGTGATCTGAAGAATCAAGCCAGCTATTGATGAAAGTCTACAATAGTCTGTTAGACATGTTTTTGGTGACATACCAAGTCTCTAAACCACATAACAAGCAATGAAATACTTGACATTCGTGTTTAAATCTCGGGTCTTGTTCTTTATGCATAGTGCGTAGTAGATTTCCACACTGATTTCAGATTCTCAACTCCAATGTGAATTCAGTGTTACTATACGGATCAGAGACTTGGCGCCGCGTTACGAAGGCCACTTCAAACAAACTACACATCTTCATCAACAACTGTCTTCGCTCAGTACTTCTCTCAAGATCATATAGCCGTCCAGAAAAGATCAGCAACAAGGATCTCTGGCAACGAACCAACCGACCCAGCAGGAACCAACTGTGCAACAAATATACAAGAAGAAATGGAGGTGGATTGGCTACACTCTGAGAAAACCAACCATCAAGTGAGTGACATTGCAGGCCAGATCCTCGTTCGAGTGGAGCCCGAATGAGAAGCGGTGAGAAGGTCGTCAGTGCGAGGGTGACATGAAAGAGGTCATGTGAAGAGTAGATAAAAGTATGTAGGCAGACGTGGAGCCAGGTGAATTTCATAAATATTTCTATCTTTCTAGATATTTCTGAGCACAGATGAAGTCCAGGGTTCTATCTCCAACCACCACACTCACAAACCTCGCTTAGTTGGTAGTATACCCGGTGAAGAGGGAAGTTTAGTGTGTGTGTGTGGGGGGGGAGGCTAGCAGCACCCTACCCCGTGAAAATAAAACCGTTGGTACTGAGACTTCTGAGCTCAAGCTTGAAGCTCTATGTCCCATGTTCGGATATTTCCGGTGGACAGATATTCCGTTTTATTTCTCCGTTTGGGCCATATGTTATGTTACTCAGAATTCAACCTGTGTTGGAGAGGTATAGAGGTGAATAGGCATGCTGGCTCTTCGCTCTGCTGAGAAAGGAGGAGATTAGAGAAGAAAGATTGTCACATCTAAGCCATGTGGTGGTGGTTCTGACTGACTGGTTTCAACATAGAATTTTGCACAGAAGTGCAGCAGTTCCAGTTGTCATAATTTATGTAGCCCAAAAACCAAAAAAGAGATAATAAACACAAGTGTGACGGAAAAAGGAAGATAGAGCTTTATTGGATATGAAAAATGACAAAGAGTAGTGAATGCATTTGCGCCATTGACAACGATCACTTTGAGCCATTTCACCAATTATCTTCAGCTGGTATTGCTTCTTACCTATCCGAGGAACACAATCAGTCAGGAACTCTACCCCCCCCCCCCAAAGTGGCTGGCTTAAATTAACTGTTGTGGATTTCATTGACTGATGAAACCATGTTTTGGTTTGACCACTACTACATCTTTCCCACCCTGATCAATCCTATGTCAGTCTGCTAACATTGACTGTTGTCGAGGAAGGCGATGGCTAGGATCCGCCTGTTTGTTTCCAACATAGAACTTTGCACCGATGTGCAGCAGTTCAAGTCGCCACACTCCACTCCACGTAGCACACAAAGCAAGAGAAGAAATGCAAAATAGAGACAGTAAACAGAAACATGAGGCAAAAAGAATAGTACTATGTAGAAGCAATATAGTTTTATTGGATATTCTAAGTCACAAGGAGTGGATGCATCTGAGCCACTGAGAACGATTTTGAGCCATATCACCAATTGTCTCCAGCCTTCATTGGTTCTTACCTACCCAAAAACCCCAACCAGGAAGTCTACGCCTCCCTACATGTCTTAAACTAACTGTGGTGGATTTCATTGACTGGTGCCATGTTTTGGTTTGACCACCGCTACTTCTTTTCCAGCCTGACCCTATCTCAGCTAACATTGCTCGTCAGTCGAGGAAGGCCATCAATGGCTAGGCATACATGCGTAACACATGTCCCAACCATCGCAATCGATGCGGCTGCTTCACGACCTCGTCTATTGATTTACCCTCCAACTCATCTAGCACTCCACTGATGCATAACCTCAATATTGCTCACCTTGTGGTGAGAGCTGTCTACTAGCCAAATTGATAGACAGTAATTTACATCAGTGTTTACGTTCTCAAGATTAGTCGTGAGAAAATATGAACAAAGAGCGATTCAAAACCAACCACAGCAGACTTTGCGTAGGCGGATAGAGTTAACATATCGATGATCTGACATTCAAGAAACAGTCACAAAGAGATGAAAGATTAGTGTTCAGCGAGAAACCACCAATCAGAAGACTGTGTTTGTTTGCTTAACTAATCTATAATAATGTACATGAAAATATATAAATATGCTTTGATTTCCTTAATAAACGATCTGTTGCCTGGCCCTTGTCTTCTGTTGTTACAACCTTATTATGCCATCTAACACACACGAGAGATAGAACGCAGACACCTATGATCAAAGACAGCAAGGTAGCCGGCCTCTTCATGTCTTCCACTTTCAATGTGGGCCATGTCTCAAGCACAGCCACAAAAGAAGGATGCAGCGAACTGCTGCTAAGAAGTACACACGTTTTTTGATCGACAGCCGGATGGTGGTTCTGCGTAACCAAAGGTAAGGTCTTCTCTCTGTACAGACATAACTCCAAAAACAAACTCAAAAATAGGTCAAATATATAACCGGCACCAAAAAATTCTGATCTCTGATCAGTCAACACACTAATACTCTTTCAGTTCAGTTCAGTTATATTATAATCATCAAAAACGACTAGGCATACATAACTGAGAATAAAATTTTTCAGAAATAATTATTCATTAAATAAAAAACTCAATAGAAATAAAATAAAGAGCATTTAGGGATTTTATCATCGTCTATGATGATTCCTCTTCAATAGAAAAGAGTAGAAATTAAGTAATGTAGGTATTGGTAGATAGGACTGATTTCATGAATTTAAGTAGTATATAGAATTTGGAAACAAATTACATCACTAAAGAAAAAAACCAACGAGAGAAACTGTTTTCTCAGATGAAGTATGAATGGAAAATATCAGCAGTAATGAAATGTAGGGGTATGTATGCATTTGTGCATGTGTGTGTGTGGGGTGGAACGCACCATCCAGAGTTATATAACAATGAGAGATGCAGACATAAGTACTTGTTTTTTTTACAAACAATATATTGAATCGAGTAAAGAAGGAAGCATCTTCAAGCCAATAAGAATTCACCATTCCTCTTCCCTTTTTCCCGTTTTCTTGGAGATTATGTAATACTTGGGCTAATGCCACAACTTCTGCAAAATAATACATAATAGTAAGCAGAAATACTAGAAAGTTTAAACCAGACAAAAATAAAAAATCATCACAATACGCTACCTAGTGAAGATCTAGATAAGAGTAGTAAGATTTTGACTGTAGAGATAAAGGCGCCATCGATACAAGATAAACTGGATCAAAGCATAACTTATTATTTATTATTATTGTCTTGCGTTCCGAGTGGAACATAGGGCTCCCTTCAACAACACATCTCCCCTTTGTTCTGTTTTCTGCTGTCCTCTTCAGCTGGGTCCACGATTGATCAAACTCTCTCATCTCTTCCTCACACGATCTCCTCCATATCGACCTCGCACTGACGACCCACTCGTCGTTCCCCGCTTGGATTCCACCTTAATGTATGCCCGACCCATCTCCACTTTCTCCTATATATTTGTTGAGCGATTGGCTCTCGCCTGTTGATGTGTTCCAAAAGTTTCTCCTTTCTTATTCTTTCTGGCTATTCGATTTTCAGTATGGAGCCGGCCAGCAAAGGCAGCTGTGGACCAAAGTCTGCAACAGGCTGTTGGAAATGCTTTTCGTGACACTGTAGCCACGTTTCTGACCCGTATAGAAGAACCAACTTCACTCTGGTGTTGAATAGAATTGGAATCTTGTTCCTAATGCTGAGTACGGACGATTTCCAAACGGGTTTCAGGTTGATGAAAGTGTATCTCGCCTTTCCAAATCCGGCTTTGACATCTTCGTCCGTTCCGCCTGTAGTTGAAACGATGCTTTCCAGATAAGTGAAGGATGGTGATTAGTGCTGGTTGTTGTTGTTGTTGCTGTTGGTTGGTTAACTTCATCACATCTGTTCACTTGCAATCCTGTTGTTGCTACCTACTTCTTCAGCCAGTTTGTTGGTTTTCGCCTACCTACAAGTCTCCCAGTTTGTGTGACATTAGACATATATCATATGAGAAATCCGGATCTTTTAGAGTCTTCTTATCGGTGGTCCAGCGTATTCCTGACTCCTTGCCCCCAAAAGTCTGACGCATAATTCAGTCCACCAGAATTAAGAATATCATTGGTGATAATAGGCAGCCAGCCAGCCTTGTCTTACTTCTGTATTCACTTTGCACGCCTCGCTGAGGTTTCCATTGTGGATCACCTGACACGTGGCATTGTCATATAGCCAGTTGTTGAATGAGGTTGACAAAGACTTGAAATACGCAGTAGTGTTGAAGTAGTTGTAGTTTGGAGTACAACTTACCATCTGGTAATAAAACGCCTAAGCCTAGTTACGACGTATGCAAGAATTAGCAACAAGAAACTCTGGCTGACGACGAAACAATCAAGAGCCTATTGATAGACAATTGGATATGTAGGAGCAAATGGAGATAGATGGATCAGGCATACGTTGAAGAGATAGTCGAATGATATCGCGCTCCATGCAGGTCATCTCGCTCGAGTGGAATCCCAATGGGTAGCGATGAGTGGATCATCGATGCTAGGGTGACATGAAGGAGATCATTTGCGGAGGAGAAGGAGGAGATTAGAGACTATGGGCAATCGTTGAACTAGCCAGCTGAAAAGGATAGCAGAAAATAAAACAATGTGGAGATGTGTTGTTGAAGCAGAAACGGGTTAAAGTCAGCCAACTACAGAAATGGATTCAGTGGGTTAATTAATGACTCAAGGATCAAAGTACAACAAGAACGGGTGGGACCCGGAAGGTTTGAAACTATTTGATAGCGGGACCAGTGTGGCGTATGCTACTGATAAGATTTATCAGTAGTATGCATATACATAAAGTGATGTACATCGACATAAAACATGAAATAGCAGGGAGATAGATTGGATGTCAAAGAAAGCAAATGATACAGCGTTGCGGAGATACATGGGAAACGTGAAAGGAACACAAAGAAACACAATATAAAGGTCAGAAGTAGCACACCACGGAAGATCTGTGCAAATGGTGCGTTGAGGACAAGGTGTACATAATTTCACTATATAGAGATACTAAATTGCACACACACATTCTTATAAAGAGTCTTCAGTCTTCTAGCGTTATAAAAAGGAGATGGAAAACCACGATTCTGAGCTTATGGTGGTGTACATTGTCTCTAAAAACCGATGGGAACAAACAGCGTATGATGCATCTGTTTCGATCAGTGTCAATCGTGGGGAAAGTAGCTACTGGCACTGTTCCACTGCTTTGTGGATCAAACTCCAAGTCAAAGGCTCGGGAGGGAGTAATCCCTTAAGACAACCATCTGCCTTGGTTCGAGTGTCCAGGCAGTATTCCAGCCCACTTAAACGCTATGGGATTTTATGTGGCATCTCTTAAAGCCTATAATGTAATAAAAGTTTGGATTTTAATAATAGTAATAACAATAATGATAGTTATAAGAGCACAGTGGTTAGGACTCTCGCTAACCATGTACATGGTCCGGGGTTCGATCCCCTGTCGACGTACACCTGATATCTATGGTCGGCCTGCGAAATTTGGGCTACCGATATCTATGCTGAAAATTCCACACTTGTACTGAAAATACGGTGTGGCATCAAGCTGTAATCAAAATAAAAAAGTAAATCATTAATAGTAGTTAAATAAACTTACCGCCTTTGGATAGACAGACTTTTATGACGGGCCAGAAAACGCTATTACGAAAAAAACACACAACAGAAAATTTAAGTGTTATTATTTGTATTTGTAAGGATATGATTGATTTTATGCATATGAAAAGATGGTAAACTTTTTATATTATATCGACTAAGCTACTCATAAGTAATACGGTATTTTGAATAAAAAAATGACTGAGTTATTTGTCGTTCGCAATTTCATGACGAAGTGACATTAAAGGTTATTAGATCACGAATTGATTACAGTTAGAGAACCATAATTATAAAGAAAACTGGCTTAGTAACATAAGTATATGGTGTAAATTGTATTCTGATATCACACATAACACTTTCATTTCAACGAAGTAGTAGAGTACTGAATAACACGTAATTATTTCATATCTTTAATATTTAATAATGACATTGTCTGTCAGTGCTGATGAAAATTGAATCGTTTGTTTATTCGAACTTGCATCCATTTGGCGGGAGATAAGAAAGCTATCGTTGCTTAGTTGTATACTGGTTGGCAAAAGACTAGAGAAATACAATCAGAAGTATAAATTGTTCACACTCTCAATTAACGCTTATTTACAGACTTTTCTTTTCATAGTAACCTGTATTTTTATCGAGTTATCGGTGGAAGCATAAATCAATCGTATTGCATTTCGGTTTTCTGTTTTTCCTGCGTATTAGGCATAGTCTTCTAAAACCAGTGATAGGTCCAGGATCTTTGCGACCTTGATATTTGACATTGTCTCTCCTTTGATGCAGGAAGTCTATCGACCAAAGGGCGTGTGTACTGCTCAGCAGTCCGCTCCGTCCTCCTTTATGGCTAGCTGTGAGACCTGGCCATTCAGAGCGGAAGACATCAAAAGATTAGCTGTCTTTGATCATAGGTGTCTCCGTTCTATCTCCCGTGTGAAGTGGTACAATAAGGTGAGCAATATTGAGGTTAGGCGTCGTGTGCTAGGAAAGGAGGGGAAATCAGTCGACGAGACTGTGAAACTACATCGACTGAGATGGTTAGGACATGTGTTACGTATGCCTAGTCATCGCCTTCCTCGACAATGGGCAATGTTAGCTGATATAGGGTCAGGCTGGAAAAGAGCTAGCGACGGTCAAACGAAAACATGGAACCATTCAATGAAATCTACAACAGTTAGTCTAAGCTATGTAGGAAGGTGTAGACCTCCTAGTTGGGGTCCTGGGGACGGTAAAAACCAATGGTTGGAAACAATTGGTGACATGGCTCAAAATCGCTCTCAATGCCACAGATGCATCCACTCCTCGTGACTTAAGATTTCCAATGAAACTGTATTGTTCTTCGTTATTACTATTCCTTTGTCTCACACCTCTGTTTACTGTCTATATTATGCATTTCTCCTACTTTCTTCTGTTGCTTTGTGTGCTACATGGAGTGTGGCGACTTGAATTGCCGCACATCGGTGCAAAGTTCTATGTCGAAAACCGAAGTGAAGATGAATGATTATTCGCGAGCAATCTTCATTGAGACGTTAATGAAAACAAAAGAACACACAGTTCAGTGAAGAGGCCCTTCTCAGAGAATTAATCTCCCCTTTAGCTACACTATCCCATTTATATACATTTTTTCTCATAAAAGATGATGAGTTGCCACCATCATACTTGTTAATATTCGTCAATGCATATTTTCTTCTTTTATTCCTTTACATTCCCAAAGGAACATAGCGAGGGCTTCAGGCGAGAGGCTTGAAGTTTCGGTAGCAGTCATGTGTTTATTTTTACGGGATGGGGTTGCTTGCTAGCTAGCCTCATGCCCAACCTTCTCTCTTTACCAGTCTTATTACTGGCTTAGCGAGGTAAAGGAGTACATCACTGGTAGGCGATCGAACTCCGAACCACCTGTGGGGTGGTTGTGCCACCGACGACCAGAAGTCAATGCATAGGAGGAGTTGGATAATTGAATGAGTTGTCATCAGGATGAACATAGAAACAAAAAAGATATGGAATTATGCAAGACTTCTGAAGATATACAAGAGTTATAAGGAGTTAGAAAACATAAACAAAAATTAAGTTAGCAGAAATCAACAATGTTGTCACCATGATAGCAGAAGTGGTTGAATAATTTTCTTTTGTATGCATAGTCCCAGTTTTGTTTTTTCCAAACTGAATGGCTGAGGCTTCAGCAATGTGGAGAGGAGACGAAGGCATATTGCCTTTGTGGCAGGTTGTTATTCTACACTTTGTAGATTACTTTGAAGGAGGAGGAGGCGTTTGTTGAGATGGAATGACAAGGTGTTCGATTATCACACTTCTTATAAAGCTACTATTACCTTTCTGTAACTATGCGGGATAGTGTTCTTGAACTCTTTTAGACAGAATACGCGTCGAAAGAGTAATGTACACGGCAACACCGCAACAGATGAATTGATTATATGCACATACAGGTGGCTAGATGCGACATATTCGATCGGTCGGTCGGTTTTCGACACAGAACTTTGCACCGATGTGCGGCAGTTCATCAAGTCGCACACAAAGCAACAGAAGAAAGTAGGAGAAATGCATAATATAGACAGAAAGCTGAGGTGTGAGACAAAGGAATAGTAATAACGAAGAACAATACAGTTTCATTGGAAATCATAAGTCACAAGGAGTGGATGCATCTGCGCCACTGAGAACGATTTTGAGCCATGTCACCAATTGTTTCCAACCATTGGATTTTACCGTCCCGAGGACCCCAACCAGGAAGTCTACACCTTCCTACGTGACTTAGACTAACTGTTGTAGATTTCATTGACTGGTGCCTTGTTTTCGTTTGACCGCCGCTAGCTCTTTTCCAGCCTGACCCTATGTCAGCTAACATTGCCCGTCGAGGAAGGCATACGTAACACATGTCCAAACCATCTCAGTCGATGTAATTGCACAGTCTCGTCGATCGATTTTCCCTCCTTACCTAGCACTCCACGCCTAACCTCAATATTGCTCAATTTATTATACCACTTCACAGGGGAGATAGAACGGAGACACCTATGATCAAAGACAGCTAATCTTTTCATGTCTTCCACTCTCAATGGCCAGGTCTCACAGCCATAAAGGAAGACGGAGTGGACTGATGAGCAGTACACACGCCCTTTGGTCGATAGCCGGATATCACGTCTACGCCAGAGACGGCGACATATTGCAAACTGAAGGACCACTGGAGTACACTACTTTTAGCTAGCATAGCTGCGAAGTACGTGCTTCATGAAGGTGATGAAATCCTTCACTTGAGGATATCACAGGTTTATGTAAAGTTTCTTTTTGGTACAATTAGTGTTCTTTCTCTCTGAACCTTTGGTCTGATATTCTTGTAAATGAATCCTGGTGGCTATCCATTTTGGATGAAGGGTTCTTTCAGAAGATCTAATTCTGTTTCTAGGGTAACCGGCCTACAGGTGCGTCGGATCCAAGTGGCAAGGGATTTAATTAAATTTCATTTTCGGTGAACACGCAGTTATCCTGTTCCAAATGGATTTTATTTTATGGGCTGACCTTTTCAAGGTTCCATCTGGTCTTCTCTTTAGTTCCAAGTTAAGAAACGGATATTGGGAGTGAATTTAATGACCGGATGCTGGTTGGCTGGATTCAACATAGAACTTGGCACCAAAGTGCAGCAGTTCGAGTTGCCACGTTCCAAATACCACACAAAGGTAGACAAGGAAATGAGTGAAGAGAATCAATAGAGTTTTGACAAGTATAAGAGTGAAACAGAATAAGTAATGGTAGAAAGGAATATGAAAGATTACAGAGACTGAATACATCTGTGCCATTGACAACGATTTTGAGCCATGTCGCCTAGTGTCTCCAGCCATTGATTCTTAGAGTCCCGAGGGCGGGCCCCAACCCGGAAGTCTGCATCTCCCTCCCTACCTGACTCAGTTTAACTGTCAAGGATTTCATAGATTGATGCCATGTTTTTGTTTGGCCACCACTTACTCTTTTCCAACCTGTACCTATATCACCTAGCCATCTCAATCTATGTAACTTCATAGCCTCTTCTATTGATTTTCCCTCTTTGCCCAACACTACGCCTAACGTCAACATTACTTACCTTATTATACCACCTAACGCGAGAAAGAGATCGTAAACATCTGTGGTCAAAAACAGACAATCTCTTCATGTCTTCCGCTCTCAATGTCCACGTCTCACCGCCATAGAGAAGGACGGAGCGAACTACTGAGCAGTACACACGTCCCTTGGTTGATAGCTGGATGTCACGCCTACGCCAGAGACGGTGTAAGTTAGCGAAAGCAGCCCGAGCTTTTTGGATCCGTGCTGAGATTTCGTCACCAATCAATCCGTTGGTGCTGATACAACTTCCCAAATAGGTGAAGTGGTCAACATGTTCTATCACTTCACTCCCAATCACTAAGCTAGGAGTGACCGGATGAAAATTGTTTAATACCGGTAGCGATTGATTGAGGTCATAACTATTGTCGCAAATTATGAAAATGTCATCTACGTATCATCACCTTGTATACAGTTGTAAATTGTGAATGGTCAACTTTACATGGATTAGACAAACGTTGAAGGGACATTCACTTGGCATTACACATCAGGCCCTCGAGTGGAACGTGAATACGAAGCAACGACCTTGGCACCCAAGGGTGACATAGAGGAGATTATGTTGGGTGAATGAGACCTTGTCGGCAGTTGTGGAGTCAGCTAAAAATGACCGCAGAGGACGGAATACAGTGATGAAAATGCTCTCCTGAAGCCTCATATCCCACGCGGTACCCAATAAATCAATAATAGTGTTGTTAATCTCTCTTAAAAAGATAAAACCATTGTTACAAAATCAAACAATACACTGAAACTCACCTCATAAGCATCATATTGAGGAGTAACATGATTGTTAGGCAATGTGGAATCGGAATCATTCAACGTTGAACTGGATGATGCTTCAGTATGATGACGTCAGACAATTTCGTTTATTCAGAAAGCAAAAACAACAAAATAAAACATGGGAATCTTTTTAAAAATTGATTTCACTTTAGGATATATTATGAAAAGATTTTTATTGACGACACATTATATGCTACTTGTTAGTAGTTTATTAATAAATGTTAAAAAATTTAGTTAAAATTCAGTTATGTTAGATGTTCACCACAACCCAACATCAGTCAGAGAGATCACTGAAAACCAGGGGTTAATGGACAGCTGTTTTGTCCAAGTTTGGGACTCTTCAGTATTGTGAACTCACGACCTGACCAGCAGTCGACCGCGGGACTTAAACGTCACCCGACCAGGCTCGTTGACGATTTAGCCCCATGGGCCGGTTGGACTCAATGACCACTAAGTTCAAACTTCGTCAATTCGCCATATAGCACTGCCGTTTACCAGTACATTCGATGAGCATCGACTCCACCTTCAAATGATTGACTCCACTGGCCTCTTAATCTGAAGAGATCGCAGGTTGGTTCGTGATGACACCTAATAATTGAAATATATGTGTGCATAGGAGGAATACACTGACGGATATATTGAGGCAGTACCAATAATGATCGAAGTTGGTAACTTAGATAAAACGAGGTGAAATTCATACGAATTATACAATCTACAGAGCTATAATTCTCTCTTACTCTCTCAAAATATATATAGTCGGATGTCTTTCTACGGCAGTGGTTTGCGGTAATGCTGTATCCCCGAATTTATTTATTTATTTTTATTATCGCTTGATTCTACACTGTACTTTGGTGCAAGTATGTGATATCGGTAGCCCAAATGTGGCAGGCCGACCATTGATATCAGGTGTGCATCGGCCGGTGATCGAACCCCAGACCATGTGCATGGTCGGCGATAGAGGTTAGAATTCATAGATCGTTGGTCTTCGATGCAGTAACTAAGTGATCAATGAGCTAGCGTCGTAGCCTGAAATCTAGCCCTGCTGGGGTTGCAGTTGCACACTGATGAAGAGACCCAAACTAGGGTGAAACAGCCTGCTGTTCAGTGCTATCTCGTTTTCAACGATTCCTCAACTCATGTTGGTTTGTGATAAGTAGAGGTGAAAAAGAGGTGTTGTCAAGACTACAGATAAAGACAAAATTAGTATAGGAAATGACATCATCAAGACAAATTGTAATTAAGATAATGTAAAGTATGTTTACCATAGTAAGGCAAGATTTCATACATTTATTCCCCTTAATGAATTTGAATAAAGCAAGAACAACAGTGGTTTTTGCAGAATAAAGTGGTACCATCATTTATTTCGTTGCCTTCTCATCAGTTGCTAACAGGCAAAAGTCATTACTATGTTTATCTACAGAAACAATTTTAACATACTTGCACAGAGTTCATTTTTAAACAAAAATCAGCCAATATATGTATACAATAATACTATAAATATATAATAATAATAACCATACACAATGGAAACTTTCGACATTACGTAATCAGATGAAAGGCAGGTGAAAATATCCAGTTACCAGGGCAAAGAAAACTGATAACCATACCGTTTCTTTCTGAAGGCACAGATCAAGTTTCAAGCGCTTGATGGAGATGGTTTCAGCAAACTTGAGGAGAATTGAGCTCTTTTGCGCCTATTGATAATTTTGCGACGTCCACCTCATGACCCGTGTCAAGAAGATGCCTGGCAATGGCATTGTTTAAAGCATTTGTTCCCTTTAGACAAAAGCTTTTTGATACATGTTTAGAAAATCGTAGATGTGCTTTTCTTCTTTCTGTCCTTTCAATGTCACTTTCTTGGCACTCCCTTCACAGTCAAACATTGGCATAGTACCTTTCGATCCACGGAGTCGAAGGCCGCCTTCAAGTCAAGAAATATGGTAATTGTTGGACGCCGAAAAGTGTGTCTATGTTGTTCTAAGATCTGTCGGAGAGTGAAGATATGATCTATGCACCCTCTACCTGGCCTAAAGCCTGCTTGATTTTCCCTCGTTTGTTCCTCCCGAGTTCTGCTTAGTCTGTTCATTATTACTGAGTCTAGGATTTTAGAGACTATGTTCGTCAGGCTGATTCCTCTATGATTATCACATGGGGACTTGTCTCCCTTATATATACAAATGTATACATTAAATATAAGAGGGAAGAATGAAAAAAAACTTACAAGTATACTGTGGTATAAGACAATCTTTACTTAAACCAGATACATTCTCTTCATTATTCACTAGAATGTTTAATTCATTCCTGTTATCTTGATTACCAGCAGATGTTGAAGCATCTGGTTCATCTGGTTGTCCTTGTTGTTGCTGCTGTTGCTGTTGCTGTTCTTGAAGTTGTCTTAATTGTCTTTGCTGGCGACTCAGTGCTGCATCTAATATCGGCTTCTTTTTAGCATCTAAATTAGCTAAGTGTATACGCCATATTGTATTACAGCCACGTATACGATTGTATAAATCATGATTACATAACATAAGTGAACCAAGTGTAGACAATGACAGACAGGATAATATATGACTCTGAAAAAAAAAGTAATAAGCATTAGAACAGCAGAAATATGTATATACGTGAACACACATTATTATTATTATTGTATCCTTTAATTCCTACAGGAACATAGGGCTTCAGCCGTGCGTCTCCATTGCGTTCTGTTCTCTGCTAGAGTCTTCACCTGGCTCCAAGTCTGCCCACACACTTTCATCTCCTCTTCACATGACCTCCTCCAAGTCACCCTTGGACGACCAACTCGCCACTTCCCTTTCGGGTTCCACTCAAGGGCTTGTCTAGTGATGTCACTTGATGGTTTCCTCAGAGTATGGCTTCCAGTCCATCTCCATTTCCTCCTGCCTATTTGTTTCACAATCGGTTCCTGGTTGGTTCGTTCCCAAAGATCCCTGTTGCTGATCTTTTCTAGCCATATGATCTTGAGTATTGAGCGAAGACAACTGTTAATGAAGGTCTGTAGTTTGTTTGAGATGCTCTTTATGACGCGCAGTGCAAGTCTCTGATCCGTATAGTAGCACTGACTGACTTCACATTGGAGTTGAAAATCCGGATCTTATTTTTGATGCTGAGTGTTGTTGACCTCCACACAGACTTGAGAGTAGTGAAAGCTTGTCTTGCTTTTCCGATTCTTGCTTTGATATCCTCGTCAGTTCCGCCTGTAGTTGAAACGATGCTTCCCAGGTAGGTTAAGGAGGTTGTTTCTTTCAGGTTCCTCCCATTTATGCTGATTGTTGTCAGTTGTTGTTGTTGCTGTTGATGGTGTTGCCCAGGAATTTTCATCACCTCTGTTTTATCTATGTTCACCTGAAGTCCTATCTTTGATGCTTCTTCTGCTAACTTGTTGCTTTTCGCTTGCATATCTTCCAGTTTGTGGGAAATCAGACATATATCATCGGCGAAGTCCATACATACATACACTAGGTAAACTCAAACACGATTTATTTATTTACAGAATCATTGAAAACCAGCTGAGACAGCCGGTTTCGTCCTTGTTTGGGACTCTCTCACCTTATGCGAACTCACCAGGGATCGAGCCCTTAACCTTTCAAGTTGCCCAAAGTCCTGGTGGGTAGTCGCAACCAGCGGGTTCCACCAAAGTTGGGTATGAGGACAAATACTCACAGGTGAAATCGACTGGCAGTCGGGCACTGATAAAGAGTCTCAAACTAGGCCAAAACAGCTATCTAGCTATCTAGCCGCCCACTACTTCGGAGCACTTCAATGTGCATATATCAGTCCACCTGCTCTTGCGGAGCTAGGTACATAGGTCATTCTCTGTGGGTCTTATCAAAACGTGTTGCAGAACATCATCCAGCATGGCTGCAAAGAGGAGGCACTGGTTCAATCAGAAGCGCCATAACTGAACACCTCTTCAATACCTGTCACAGCATCTCAACTGACTTATCCATCATTCAGAGTCATTTACAAAGTAAACAGAAATCTACCAAAGGCAGTGCGTTTCCCACTTCATTGTACTGCGGGAGCTCTCGCCATAGGCATCGAAAAGTGTTCAAAAGAAACTAGTCCAGCCTTTACAACTACCGTGGACCTAGTTAGGTATGTTCCCTTATCCTTCAGTTTCATTTTTGGCTTTGTTTTGTTCTCTCTGTGTGTAATTTTCTCTCTTTGTCTTCATTCAATTCATCCCATTTTTTTCAGTTGTAAAATCAGTTATTTTAAGTTTGTTTCCATGATCCTCCTGATCACACTTGTAATGCGTTTAGAATAACCACTTTACAGTTATATTCTAATCCTGTATAATTTTGTTTCTATGCCTCTTGTAATCTATATTCACACCTCCTAACTTACATTTCAAGTTGAAAACATTTTGATTTCAAATTGTTTCCATGCTCATTTTGTTCACACCTGTAATTCGTTCTATCCCTGCGTAATTTTTGTTTCTAAGCCTCTTGTAATTCATATCAAGTTGAAAATAATAATGGTCACCTTTAATTCGCCTTTAAAATTATTATTTCTCCAGTTATCAAATATTAATTTTGCATACATTGTAACTGTTTTTTAATTCTATGCAATTTTGTCTGTAAGCCCCTTGTAATCTATGTTAGTACCTTCAAACTTTCATATCAATTTGAAAATTATTATCGCCTTCGTTACTATGTGGAATTAAATAAATAATAATTGTATCCATGTAAACTAATCTTGTATATAAATGGGATTGTACAGCTGCTTTTGAGAATGAAATCCCCGAAAAGATAGTTGTCTTTGCTGAACTTCTTGTTCTATTCCCTCTAATATCTCGTAACTTCCAGGTTTCATTGTGGTTCTCTAACTAGAATCACTTCATGAACAGTCTCTACGATTAACCATAAGCTCTCACCCCCTTCTGATACGATCTCCTCCATGTCACTGTCGAAACGATACCCTACTCGTCGTTTCTCATCCGAGTCGCACTCGAACAATGGCCTGGTGAGCGATCCCACTCAACGGTCTTTTCAGCATGTGTTCAATCTATTTCCATTTCCTGGAACATATTTGTTTGCCAGTATGTTAATGGTTGGTCCGTTCCCATGGTTTTTTGTTGCCTATCCTTTCTGGTTGGCTATCTGATTTTCAGTATCGAGCGAAGGGGGCAGATGTCGATGAAAGTTTGCAGTCACATTTCTTATCTCATGGGTAATGCAGACGACAGGGTGGGACCCAGTTGGCTGAAAATCGATCGAGAGCCTGAGTCAGTGAATCACATCTCTACAATTGATATCGATGAACACTGACCAACAACATCACGTCTTCTAGTCATTATGACATTCTGAAGTAATTTAGTAGATCACTGGTGACTAGCAGTGCTTGGAATCCAGGATGAGCACGTTTCATCCCTATCTCGGATATTCATCAACTGGATGTACCTGCACACCCCAGTGAGTGAGCGAGTGGTGTTCCAACATTTTGTTCCAAACAATCACCATCAACAGGAGAGATTTGACAGAGGTTACTTCTTCCTTTCACTTATCCACCCAGTAAGCACGGTTTCAACCGGATGAATATGCCAACACCAGCCACAATCGGAAAGGGAAGATACACCTTCATCAACCTGAAACCAGTTTGGAAATCTTCTGCACTCCGCAGCAGCATAAACAAGAAAAATTCGGATTTTCAACACTAATGTTAAGTTAGTTCTTCTGTATGGGTCGGAAAATTGGCATTCGTGTCACGAAAAGCATTTCCAACATCCTACTGCAAACTTTTACCAACAGCTGTCATCTTCGCTGGATCCTTACTGAAGATCAAATAGCAGGCTAGAAAGAGTCAGTAACAAGAAACTCTGGCTGGAAAAAAAACCAACAGGAGAGAGCCGATTGCTCGACAAGTGGATATGTAGGAGAAAATAGAGACGGATGGGTTGGGCATACGTTGAGGAGGCCGTCGAATGATATCACGCGCAATGCAGGCCTTCGCTCGAGTGGAATCCCAATGGGAAGCAACGAGTGAGTCGTCGGTGTGAGGGTGACATGGAGGGGATCGTGTGAGGAGGAGATAAGAGATTGTGGGCAGTCGTGGACCCAGCTGAAGAGGACGGCAGAGAACAGAACAAAATGCAGACGTGTTGTTGAAGGGAGCCCTATGTTCCATTTGGAACCCAAGGGAAAGTAAAAACTGAATGAAAAGGAAATAATCACTGATATCCGTTGAACAAGAAGTGGCTTCTCTGGTTCAAGTGGTCTAGTGGATAACACTTTGGTGTCTGAAGCGATGGGTTCTGGGTTCGAGTCTGAGTGGGGAGACACCACCACTCTCAAATAAGACGAAATGAGCATCCTGGATTCCGCCACTGATAGTCACACTACCCACCTAATTACTTTAAATTAATCCTCAGACATCAGGACATTTCCAGAGTACAACCGTCAATATATACGATCACTATGTGCGATCCAAAACAGACGGAAAGATGTTTGAATCAGAGATATTGGTGTTTAAGCTCATTATCCAAAGCGTATAAGTAATAATAATGATAATAATAGTGTAACAGGGTTGATAATGAACTGACATCAGTTAGAGAGAACCATTGGACAGCTACCTGTTTCGTCCCAGTTTGGAACTCTTCATCAGTACCCACCCACCGGGGTTCGCATTGGTGGTAATTGGAATTCACAAACCATTGGGTCTACGAGCTCGCCCCGCAACCTAATCGTTCTGGGCTCGAACTCCAGTGGATGCGCACTGATGGCGAGTATCAAACTAGGACGAAACAGTTAGCTGTCCAGTACTCCCTGATGTCAGCCCGCTGTTATTCCTGTAACCAATCAAATCAAATCCCTTTAAACTAACACTTAATAATAATGTAATAGCCTATACATCTCGCGAAAATACTTAAATACCACAATATAACAAGAACTTACAAATAATTCATTCGGTAGAGTGCATAAATGTATTCTAGGTGGGAGTTTGTATTCTATAGAAAAAAAAGAAATGAAAGATTATATCAGTGAAAAAAAAATTTAGGAAGAAACGAAAATTAATGAGATGATATATCTATCTCAAATAAAAAGCGATTATGATGGATGGTAGGATCACACAAACCTCAAAATAAAATTTGCAATTTACACACATACACACACACCATAGTTAGCTAGTTAGTTAGTTTCCTTTGGAAATGTGATCTGATTGATACACTTGATAGTAATCAGGAGAAAGTAAGTACATGCTTGTTGCATATAAAACTATATACTATTGTAACAACAGAAGACAAGAGCCAGGCAGCAGATCGTTTATTTAGGAAATCAACACATATTTATGTATTTTCATGTACATTATTATAGATTATTGTCAGCAGACATACACAGTCTTCTGATTGGTGGTTGTTTCTCGCTGAACGTTAATCTTTCATCTCTTTTTGTGGCCGTTTATTGAAGTTCAGATTATCTATATCTGCAAATTGTATCCGCCTACGCAAACAAAGTCTGCTGTGATTGGTTGTTGAGTTAGCAGTCTTTGTTTTTATTTTTCTCATGACCAATATATTGGGGACGTAAACATTGACGTAAATTACTGTCTACTAAGTTTGGCTAGCAGGCAGCTCTCATCACAGTAGTACTGGTAATCTTATCCATTCATACTCCTGCTTTCACCAAGAGAAGACACATCAGTTGGCTGACTGGCTTCCCGAAGGCCAACTTTCACCAGCCCGCCATGTCATTTCGCCTCTTCGATTCCAGCGAACAATAAGATTGTTGTTATTTGAAGTTTTTGTATTTTTAATATATGTATTTTCTGTGTGTTGAAGTTTTGTCTCTAGCGGTTTGAAATATTTATCCTCGAGAGAGAATAAAGGATGCACTGAATGCAGAACTCCTCCAGCCCAACCGGAACAAGCTGGCTGGATTCAGGAAAGGCAAATCATGTGCTAATCGAAATGCAACTATATGTTTCGTCATCACAGAACAAAGCATAGAATGGCAGTCAAACCTCTCCCTATCTCAACTTCATCGACTTGAAAAAGGCCTTTGAAAGGGAGCGTTGACCGAGAAGTAATTTGGAAACTACTTCAAAACTACGGCGTGCACTACCGAAGTCTTAATCAACCTCATTCAACAACTGGCTGGCTATATGACAATTCCACGTGTCAAGTGATCTACAACGGAAAGCTCAGCGAGGCGTTCGAAGTGCATAAAGGAGTAAGATAAGCCTGGTTGCCTACTATCACCTATAATACTCTTAATTGTGGTCGACTGGATTATGCGTCAGACTGTGCACAGGGAACGAGGAGTCAGGAATGCGCTGGATGACCAATAAGAAGACTCTAGAAGATCTGGATTTCGCGCGTGGATTATATATGTTTAATGTCACACAAACTCGAAGACTTACAGGTAGGCGAAAACCAACAAACTGGCTGAAGAAGCAGGCAGCGAAAACAGGACTGCAAGTGAATACAGAGAAGACGGAAGTGATAAAGATAACCAAACAACGGCGGCAACCACCATCAACAGGAGAGATTTAACAGAGGTTACTTATTCCCTTCACTTATCCAACTAGGAAGCAAGGTTTCAACCACATGCAGTCGAAACGGATGAAGATATCAAAGGTAGCCAGCCAGAATCAGAAAGGTAAGATACGCCTTCATCAACCCGAAATCAGTTTGGAAATCTTCCGCACGCAGCCAGCATAAGGAACAAGATTCGCGTTTTCTTCTATACGGGTCATAAGCTTGGTCAGAGTGTCACGAAAAGTATTTCCAACAGTCTGTTGCAGACTTTTATCAACAGCTTCCTTTGCTGGCCGGCTCCATACTGAAGGTCAAATGGCTGGCCAGAAAGAATAAGCAATTAGAAACTCTGGCTGGAAACAAACCAACAGGCGAGAGCTGATTTCTCAAAAAATATGTAGGAGGAAGTGAAGATGAATCGGGCATACATTGAGGAGGCCGCCGAATGACATCTCACGCCAGGCCATCGCTCGAGTGGAATCCAAATGAGAAGTGACGATGGGTCGTCCTAGGGTGACATGGAGGAGGTCACATGAGGAGAAGATGAAAGTTTGGTCAATCATAGACCCAGCTGAAGAGGACGATAGCAGAAAACAGAACAAAGTGGAGATGTGTTGTTGAAGCCAGCCCTATGTTCCACTCGGAACGCAAGGGAATCATGATAAATAATACAACTGGTAATCTTGTTTAATTCAATTTGGACTTTCCCGTTGATTGATTGAACCGGAGTGTTCGGCTTCAGGATGACATACCGGCTCCTTGTGCAGATGCTTTGAGGAAATCTGATTATTTAACTTGAAGCTTAAAACTATGGGTGCTGGGTTCGAGCCTCAGTAGGAACACCATCACTCACTGGGGGAATGTAGGTGACATCCGACTGACGAGTCCCAAGTAGGACGAAATGCGCAGTCTGGACTCCACTGCTAGTCACCATCCACCAGTTTATTTCAAGGAGTAATCTTGTGTTTAAGATCATTTCCTGTTTTAATACGACTGAATTCATTCTCCTAAACACACACACACCTAAACACAAATCAATGTTCAGGTATTGGTTTATAGGGATTTGGTTGATTGGTTACAGGATTTCATCATGAGCTGACAACCAAATCCCTACAAACCAATACTTGAATATCAATGAGATACTCGCTGGCGACTGGCCCTATTCAGGTAGGTAGTTACCTGAGGTTCTAGTGGGAAGTCGTGACCAGTAGTTCGGGTGTGAGGACATATACTCGCCACCGATGACATTGGCTAGCGGTTGCACTACGTCGTGATTAGCAGAAGTTAGAATTCATGGGCTGGTCATTGGATTGGGTCTCAGTGGCTTAATGGTCTACGAGCTAGCTCGCCTTGTAACCAGAAGGTCCTGGATTCGAACCCCACGGTGTGGGTTCGTAGTGGTGAGGAGTCCCAAACTAGGACGAAACAGCTGTTCAGTACTCCCAGGTTTTCCAATGGTTCTCTAACCAATGTCAGCTCATGATGAAATCCTATAACAAATCAATGTCTTCTGACGAGGAGGGGAAGGGAGAGTACGGTTTGGCTACTTATTTGTAAAATTAGAGTTTATAGATAAACAGTTTCTTGTAAACAGTGAGTGGTGTGTTATAAAAGCCCCCTAGAATGACATTCGTAGCACGTGTCCAAGTCACTGAAGCCAATGCTTAAAGATGAACCACACTGAATGAAAGGTGACTTCTACCGTGTCGAAACACACGCACACACACTGATGGACCTTAGAATTAATTATACGAAGATACTACAGGACAAAAGCACTCCAAATACTCAGAACCACCGCCGCACATTCTCACGTCGGAGAGACTAGATCAAAGTTACGCGCAGCACCAAATCATTGTCAACCTGACTTTTATAACAGCCAGAATGACGTCACGACGGTTTGAGAGATGGCTCAAATTGGCGTATGTTACCCTAACTTCCAATATACGATTAGAGATTTCATGTATCAAACCGCTACTAGCACCCAAACAACTATCTAGATATACGAAATTGCCGACAACTTCAAGGATGAGTGCAGCAGGTAGAGGGGCTCTTGTCAAAGCACATACTATACTTGTAGACACTGCTAGCCAATTGAGTGAGATTTGAGCAGTCTGAATCTTATCACTCAGTGAGACGATATCGTCTTATGTATATATATATATATATATATATATATATTGGACAAACTATAGAATACAACATCCTCACTTACCTGAATGCAATGCCAATAGTATAGGTTCGATTAATTCATCTTTAATACGTACAGCTAATAATCGTAATCTTCGGTACAAAAGGCTTGATTTGCTGGCAACGGCTTAATATAATAGTTGAAAGAAAAATAGGAAAACGATAAGCTAAATATAAGTATAAAACTTGGGCACTGTGGTGGTAGAGTGTAACTCCATCATGGATAAGATTTTATTTTGATAAATCACACAGTATTGTTATACAGTAATATTCACTGATGACCACGTTTCGAGCACAAACTATTGCCACTCATAATCATATCAAGGCACTACTGACACAACTTCCTTCCTTCATTTGTATACATGAGTAAAAATTGATGATTAGACATTTGAATAAAAATCAATATGGGATGACAATGTACATTCAGACATAATAATATGAGTGTTATTGATCAAATACAATAAGATGGGAAATAAGACGAGTGTTTTTATAGTCATAATAAATAACTTGTTAGAATGTTATAATGTAAGTGAATCGAAATAGAATTTCAAGATTATTTATTATCCTCCTCTGATTTGACTGACTGGTGGTAATATTATCTTCCATATCTCTGGTATTTGCTTTCAGTCATTACTGTCGCATGTGTTGGGTGTAGATTATGCGATGAACCAGTCAGGATTCAGTAATCAATCTCTGTCTATCTCTCCACCTACCTATATTGCATCTTAGAATTTTAACCATCTCCCACCCTATTGTGTGTTAATGTGTGCAGTGCAATTGCTAAGCTTTTTTCTTATGTTCCGACAATCTGATTACCCCCGATCTACTAGTTTGACTTATGTAGTTGACCTAACTCACAGTCATTGCAAGGTATTTTGTAAATTATATTATTTTGTTTAATTGGGTCCACCAACAGGGTCCTTTAACCTACAGAGCTTGTCTCTGAGTGATTTTATAGGTTTGAATGCCACCCTAATTTCTGCTTTATTCAGAATCCTACACTCATATTATTACCACCAGTGAGTCAAATCAGAGGAGGATAATAAATAATCTTAAATTGTATTCTATTTCAATTCAAGCACATCACAACATTTTAACAAGTTACTTATTATGACTAAAAAAACACTCGTCTTATTTCCCATCTGATTGTATTTGATCAATAACACTCACATTATTATTTCTGAGTGTACTTTATCTTATACTGATTTTTATTCAAATGTCCAATCATCAATTCCACTCATGTATATAAATGAAGGAAAAAAGTTGTTTGAGTAACTTGATATGATTATGAGCGGCAATAATTTGTGCTCGAAACGTCATCAGTTAATGTTACTGTATAGCAAATACTGTGTGATTTATCAAAATAAAATCTTATCCATAATGAAGAAGCTAAATAACTAAGTGCATAAGTGCATACTACTTACATCCCACTCATATTAGTAGTATATATGTATATAAATATATTTGGTTACAGGATGTCGTCATGAGCTGACATCGGCTAGAGAACCACTGGAAACCAACACTGGAGTAATGGACAGCTAGCTATTTCCCCCTAGTTTGGGACTCTTCATCAGTACGCACCCACTACTAGGGTTTGAACCCAGGACCTTCTGGTTACAAAGCGAGCTCGTAGACCATTAGGCCACTAGGATTGAACCCCGGTGGGGTGCATACTGTTGTCGAGTCCCAAACTAGGACGAAACAGACAGCTGTTCAGTAAGTACTCCAGTGTTCGTTTCCAATGGTTCTCTCTAAGTGATGTCAGCTCATGATGAAATCCTCCAACCAATCAAACACCAGTATTATTAATGACCATTATTTCAGAATATTCTCTCTCCCTCTCTCTCTATACATATATATATATGTTGTAGAACGCGAAGAGGAAATAATAGAAAAGAATATTCCTTGCTCAAATATTTTCTTTTGTCTTCTAAATGTCTGAATGATTATTTTCTCTATATCAGATATTTTCATTTTTGGATTCCTATGATCTCCCACTAGGACATAAGGCTTGAAACCACCATTGAGCTTTGAAGTTTCAGTAGCAGTGAAGTCCTTCATTTTCTAGAGGATGGAGTTGTTAGCCCCACCTTCAAACTTTCCTCTTTACTGAGCTTACTTACTACCCGGGTGTAGACGAGATTCAGGAGTATGTTGGCAGGGAATCGAACGTGCTCTTACGCATCCCAGGCCACGTACGTGTCTGGCACCACTGATGCACACTATTAAACATGTATAGTCAGTCCTCTTTTAATTTTATCACAGGGCATGAAACACTACAGTGGATTAATACTGACTGAATAGTACTCGTTAATGTATAAACCAAAGTATATATAACAGAAAATAAACAAAAATAGACTTTTTTCTATAGTTGGTTTGTAAGGATTAGTTTTGCTTTTACGAGTTGATCACGGATTGATATCATCAGTTAAAGAACCATTGAAAACCAGTCACAGGGAGTACTGGACAACCAGCTGTTTCATCAGCCTAGTTTGGGAATCATCGCCAGTACGCACTCACACTATGTATGGGGTTCGAACCCAGGACCTCCCGGTTACAAGGCAAGCTCGTATACCATTCAGCCACTGGGACCCGATTCAATGGCTCATGAATTCTGACTTCTACCAACTCGTGATTTAGCGCGACCCAAACCATTGTCGTTGGTGGGACATCCATCCACACACGTGACAACTAACTGGACCTCACTGGTCACAACTTCTCACTAGAACTCCAGGAAACTCCATCCTGTAGCAAGTCACTAGCGAGCATCAGATTAATTTTCTATAGTTTGGTTTGTAAGGGTTAGATATGTTTTTACGAGTTGATCACAGATTGATATCGGTTAGAGAACCATTGAAAACCAGGGAGTACTGGACAGCTGCTGTTTCATCCTAGTTTGGGGATCATCGGCAGTACGCACCCACTGGGATTCGAACCGAGGATCTTCCGGTTACAAAGCAAGCTCGTATACCATTCGGCCACTGGGACCCGACTCCTCAACAGCCAGCCCTTGAATTCTAACTTCTACCAATTCGTGAATTTTAGCATGACCACCAAACAATGTCATCGGTGGGACATCCATCCTCACACTTGACGTCTGGATGGACCTGGAGTTCTATTGAGAAGTCGTGACCAGTGAGGTCCATCCAGACGTCAAGTGTGAGGATGGATGTCCCACCGATGACATTGGTTGGTGCCAGTCGCGCTAAATGCGTCACGAATTGGTAGAAGTTAGAATTCATGGGCTGGTCATTGAAGAGTCGGGTCCCAGTGGATGAATGGTATACGAGCTTGCCTTGTAACCGGGAGGTCCTGGGTTCGAACCCCATACATAGTGTGGGTGCGTAATGGCGATGATTCCCAAACTAGGCTGATGAAACAGCTGGCTGTCCAGTACTCCCTGTGGCTGGTTTTCAATGGTTCTCTAACTGATGATATCAATTCGTGATCAACTCGTAAAAACAAAAATAGAGGCAAAAGAAGTTGTTATTCACCAAAAGTATAAACTCACATTGGTCTATTAAACTTTGATTGATCAAATAATCTTTTGTCAGTAGAATAAGCTGTTTTCGTACAGGAAGGGATTGAACACTGCCTTCAAAATAAGATAAGTAGAGAGATAAGTAATACACAGAAGACAAGGGCCAGGAAACAGATCGTTTATTGAGAAAATCAAGAGATATTTATGGGTTTTTATGTACATTATTGTTAGCGGAGAAGCAACCTGTTCTGATCGGTTGTTCTCTTGCTCAAGGCTACTCTCTATTGCGCTTGTGACCGTTTCTTAGAAAGTTAAGCCATCTATCTGCGAATCGTATTTGCACACGTGAAGTCTGCTGTGATTGGTTGGTGTGAGTTCCTCAAGATTAGGCTTTGTTCTTGTTTTCTTCTCATGACCCCGATTCGGGACGTACACAATAACGTAAATTGTTGTCGACAGTTTTGGCTTGTTTGCAGACGGCTCTCACCACAGTAGTAGTATTTGTAGCATTTAGTTGTTCTATGATTTATGCAAGAGGCCGAGGTATTAACTGCCCCAACGGATAGACTAAAGTTAGGTGGTTGTTTTAAAGGACCGACCCTTGGGTCATTGACTTGAAATCGAATCTACAAGGCACTGGGGGGCAGTGTTCCCATGGTTACCAGTGACCATTCAATCTTTTTGGATTCTACAGCCCATGTAGACCACATAGACTTGAAATGTAGGTTTTCCAGCTTTCCTAGGTAGACTCGGTGAGGTACACTTCCAGGCCTCGTGAAGGTGATGAACACGACTTGACACTGGTAGAGGTTATGAATGCATAGCTAAATGAAAGCTTTTTGAGAGGAAGACTGGTGTCTATCTACTATCGGTTGTAACCATGTCATTTATGGGGGATATAAACAGTAGAGTGAAGATACTTGTCTGTCCATCACTTATGAATAAATAAAGTTATGAGCTAGAATGTGCTATCTAACGGTTTTAAGGATATGAAGCTTCAGCAAATTACACCTTTAGGCAGTACTATAATATGCTATACGCAAAACCTGGTATAGTTCGGTATAGTCCAGAAAACATACGGGAAAAAATAGGTAGAGAATGAATTAAAGGACTTAATCTGGAAGGGGAGCAGTTATATTTAACAAGACCAAACAGCTTTGATTGGACACTAGTAACTAGTGTGACGTGTCTAGTTCTTTCTTTGGTGCAGACTGAATTCTATCAGTCAGGTTTTCAATGTGGCCACCATTCTAGAATTCAGTCTGCACCAAAGAAAGGACTAGACAGGTCACACTAGTTACTAGTGTTCAATCAAACTACCCACTACAGTCCTACAGGAGGTCAATAGCGAGCCCGAATAGCTCAGTGGCAACGTCTCTGACTGCAGGTGGCACTGGGTGACGCGGGTTCGAATCTCAGAGGGGTGGGACATGAGTTCCTTCAAGGTTGCAGATACGCCTTCCTGACGAGTGCCAACCAGCACGAAACCTAGGCCCAAAACTTCCTGCTGATTGCCTCCAAATATCTAATATTATCAAGACCAAACAGCATTCGTCGAATTACTGTGTCAGCATATTCGCCATTGATGATTGTGATTCTCGGCCATATCCCATAACATTTCGAGTCACCACCACCGAGGCTTGAGGCTATCTCTTGAATCCCAGTCAGGGATTTGTGATGTAACAACCGACGCCAACACCAACCACACAATTATACTTCATCCCAAGACAATGTCAAGCCATGGGCTGACCACCTCTCTCTGCTTTTCCCATCCCGTCCTAGGGCTAGCAAACAGAGACCGGTACGGAATCCTCTGGGATTTGACATGCGTAGCACATGTCCGCCAAGCCATCGGAGCCAGTGTTTCCAGATGACAACACTCAATAGATAGTGATGTCCAAACAGTGTCCAAACACACACTGCCCGACATCAGAATCATAACTAAGAATACTATAAGAAGGGGCAAATTTCCAGACTGGTTTCAGAGTTATGAAGGTTCGCTTTCCTTTCCCGATCCTAGTAGGAATTGATATCCCCGCCCGTACTATCCACTTGTAGTTGAAAGGATGTTTCCTAGATAAATGAACGGATAGCGATTGGTGCTTTTTGGTTATCTTCATCACCTCCGTCCCCCCTCTATGTTCACTTAAAGTCCTGTCTTTGGCAGCCTGACTCTTCTGCCAGTTTGTCGCTTTTCGTCGGGAGGGAAATACAAAACTACAAACTTAAACAAATATATTTTCTTGTTTGTTTGTTTTTTTAAAAAAAAGACGAATATTTAATTTAAATCTACCTGTAATAATAGATAAATTTCCATTTTGATATAAACTGAATACCACTCTGTTAGGCGTTGGAGGATAATTGAATACCAATCGGATAATTGTTGATACACTTCTTTGATGATAATGTTCATTTATGCTATCTACACTCTGAGGGAAAGAAAGGAGGTTAAAATGTTCAGGGCAAAAAAAAACAACACAAAACATAGGCGACTTACATTCAATCCCTTGTCAACTGCAAATACATAAAGTGGTATAGCTAGAAAGTAAATTGAGGAGTACTGTTGTGAAGTGATCAATTCATTTGCTAATCGAAATATGGGATCAGCTAACTATTTATTGATTTTTTTTAGGATGATGATGATGATCAATAGAATAAATATAACATACTTCAGCTTCTAATGACTTTTTAATATCATCTAACTTTTCCAATGAACGAATGTATATAATGTCACCATTGACAACGCCAAGTTCAGACAGCAGACGTGGGTGTGAATCACTTGAATCATAGAAATCTTTAGCGTTTAAACTAATTTGAACATTATCTCTAAAGATAAAAATACAAAATCAAACAAATAAACAAAAATTAACGTGCAAAATAAAGAAAATCTTAGTAGATTGTAATACATATACATTAGAACAAGACATATAAGCGAACAATATTAATCTATGTGTCAAACTTGGGCACTGTGGTAGTAAGTAATTCCATATTAATTTGTTTATTAGCTATATCACTCACAGTGAGTGAAACAGTATTATTATTCACTGGATGACACAGTTTCGAACACAATCTAGTATTGTTCATAATCATATCATCAGTTATAATCACACAACTTCGAAACTTGAGTGCTATAGTTTTCTTTATTCTTTCCTATTCACCGTCGTATGGGTACTAGAATTTTCCAGATGTCCTGGTGGACAGGTGTTTAAGATGAATTTATGAATATATATGACGCCGTGTGTGCATCGCTGGTTCAACGATAGAACACTCGTCAATCAGGCCACACGTGGTCTGGGGTTCGACCAACGCACTCCTAAAAAATCTTACCAAGCAAGTAGTGAGGCCGGTAAAAAGGAAGAGATTGGGCATGAGGCTAAAAACCCCACCCCGTAAAAATAAACACCACTGCTACCGAAACTCCTAAGCTCTACCTTGAAGCCCTATATTCCACTCGAAACGTAAAGGAACAAAATAAATTAGAAAAAATAATATGGAACCTTAACTGAAAATAGCTATCGAGAAATGTTCATGATGAAACACATAGCCAAGAGAGTAGAAAAGAATTATTCTCTATTTGTAAACAAGAAGTTTCTGCATATGTGACCGCAATTCAAATGTGACATAGCTAGTGAGAAAATCGATTTAAAGTGTTCTTAATACCTGCAGGTAGGCTGTAGCTCATATTTTCCACACGACCAGCAGTCAATCTCCAACTGAAAGACGAAGTACCTAGGCTAGCCACCTATTCAGCCAGCTATATTGTAACAACAGAAGACAAGGGCCAGGCAACAGAACGTGTATTACGGAAAATCAACACATATTTATAGATTTTAATGTACATTATTGTAGATTATTGTTAGTAGAAAATACAGTCTTTTGATTGGTTGTTTCTCACACAAAGTTAACCCTGCATCTCTTCGTGGCTGTGTCAGATCATCTATATGCTAACTGTATCCGCCTGTCCATCCTGACCTTGACCTCAATTACTGTCAACCAATTTGGCTAGCAACCATCTCTCACCACAACATGACTAATATTTGCTACATAAACATTGACCTCAATTACTATCAACCAATTGGCTAGTATACAGCTCTCACCACAATATTAGTAGTTGTTGCTCTAGGAATTTAGCTTTTCATGTTCAGGAACACCTGTCAGTGTGTGGCTAAATAAAGGTGTAGTAGTGAAAGCCACCAACAGTTCGAAATAGGACTATCTCACCCAAACAGGCTGTACAGTTAACAATAAAGGATCTGTTTTTAAGCATGTATCCGGTACTGAATAAACTGCCAATAGCTTCTAGTTGCCGAATACTTCACACAGCACAGCCTATTGCAATTTGCTTAAAACAACTGAGCAAAAGCTAAAGGCCAAGCTAATATTGCTACCCCCTGGATTGTTGTGAAATCTATACATTCATAAATATCGCACTGTCGCACTTTTGACATATGACCTTTCATCTTGTGTGTATACAATAAATATTTGTTTATTTGTATTGTTATACAACTGAATTGTTATCCTGCCTACCCTGAATTTTATACCAATACGAGTTACTTATTTTAAACTTCTAGGTAATGTCTGATGGTTTCACACGATCTGACAAAGGATTATTCAGGAGTGTTTCGTGCATAAAAGCTATGAAGTTATTTAAAGGATGAATAAGCATATTAGAGTTGCCATCAATAAACGATCTGGTACGGCCAAGAGTGGATAGACTTCAGTCTCGCCCTAGAAATGCTCTCTCACATGACCACATGTGTTCATGGACTCTGACAGATAAGTCCTATTCACTAGCTTCATGTGGCGAAGGTGTTCATCATAAAAAGTGAACGGGTGAATGGAAACATCTAGCGCCTACAACCGGAGTGGTGAATATGCAGGTCTACCCAGTATAGGGAAGCTGTAAAACTGATTCCAAATCTTTAGTGAATCTTCAGAATCGGAAAAGATCAATTGGCGTATCAACCTATTTTTCGCTACCAGAAACCATAGGAACGTAACTCCTGACGCTGCTTCACTGTCTTGTAGATCAAACTTTAAGTCAAAGGCTCGGGACGGAGTGACCTCTTAAGACAAATACCTGCTCCAGTCTGGGCAGCATTCCAAGCCTCGCACAAAGTAGGGGGTTTTGTATGGCGCATCTCTCAGTGTAGTCGGATGCAAAACAACTACAACTTTTAGTCTTTACGTATCTACCCTTGGCCGCAACTGTGCACTGCCATCTAAGACTACACTATTTATTCATCTAATTAGATAGATATCACATGTGATCTGGTATAGGAGTCTATTAATTCAAGCTCTCACATATTTATTCTAGGAATTCGAGGAAAAATGTAACAATAAAAACGTTAACGAAGCAAAAAAGCAAAACATTAGCTGTCAAGTAAGTTATACCACAAGGAGAGAAATAATATTCTTAAGGTTGAAGGCATAGTTAAAAGTACAATCGATGCCCAGAAATATCTTCTATAGTTTTAACCATTCATTTTGGTTGTTTCATGGATGCTATATTATGAAACTATCTGTTTCGTTTTGCAAGCAGCATCTCTTTCATTAATTCATTAATACTTTAATCTTCTGCTTAGGATTGTAATTTTGTATACAATAAGGCGTAAAATTAAGTGTTAGAAGTAACACGTAGTTTGAGTACAACCATACAAACTAAGAGCAAAAACCAAGTAAGAATATACTCCTGTAAACAGTATGACATTACTATAAATTATTGAAATTAGTCCCAGTGTGTTTAAGAAAAAATCAAAAGAAGATCTGTTTCCTGAACGTTTCGCTGTGTAAGCCACAGCTTCTTCGGCAGAATTATTCGGATTTTATTCATCATCAAAAAAATTTTTTACATAAATTCAAGTCAGTTTATTTGATGATCACTTGTCCATATTGACAGGACACAGCTGAACAACTTCAAAGACTATTTGCTTCATATAATATTAAAGTCTATTTCAAGCCCTCTAATTTTCTAGAGAAAGCTTTGGTGAATGCCAAGGATATGGTTCCCAAAATGTCACAAAGTAATTGTGTCTGTAGGATTAGTTGTTCAGAATGTGAAGCTTGATGTATATAGGGGTAGCAGTAGACAGGTGAAGGTCAGAGTGAATGAACATAGACTATGCACGAAACGTCCACCAGGAAATGAAATAGAATTAAAAGGTCTAGAGAAAAGATCGGTTATAGCAATGCATGCAATAGACAGTGGACATAAGATTGATTTCGACAATGTTGAAATTCTTGGAAGAGGATTCCAACCACAAAAAGAAGGGTTGACCTGTGAAGCCTTGCACATTTTACCCACATCGAATGCAGTAAATAGGATGGAGAGAAGGGATAGATTTATCACCTATTTGGCAAACTCTAATGAAGCAAGACAGATGAAAAAACAACAAAATCCTCTATGAACCTCCATGACCTTTAAAAAATGTATCATCACGTTTATCACATGTAAAGTGACGTGTTTTCCATATGACAAATAACATACAATAACACAAACTCATATAAAAATACACACAATAACAATTTGACATTGGTCATTACAAATATATGATGACTGCTTACATATTTCTATTGGTACAAATGTCTATGGACAAGTGACCTTCACATAAACTGACTTCAATTTATGTGAAAAACTTTGACTATATATTTTGATGATTAATAAAAACCGAATAATTCTGCTGAAGAAGCTGTGGCTTATACAGCGAAACGTTCAGAAAAATCTTGTTTTGATTTTATTTCTTAAACACGCTGGGATTAATTTAAATAATTTATAATGAATCACTCTGACTCGGCGCTCAAATTATTCCAGGAAGTTCGTAACATCTGCGGTCTGGAAACTTATAATCTCACTATGACATCTAGCTGACATAGCAAAAATATACTCATCCCACATAAGTGAGGGGGATGTTTCGTCGTTTAGATACCTCGACAGGAACAACAGTCTTCCAATTATACCCAAGACTTTTCATCGAATTCATCTTAAATTTATTTGAAGCCAGAGACAACAGACTGAGTGTTAGCAGCATTAATTTCATTAGAACAGGAATATCAAATATGCTTAGCAACTTCTACACTTCATATTTTGAGGAGTTGGATAGACTTTCTCAAATGAGACTTTTGACGCGCCTTGTCAATATTTTTATAATTTGCCAAATTTAGTTATAGTACTTATTTTATTGGCTTAGACATTTTATCTATTTCGGCTAGGATATCCATTATTATCTTACAGGGAGATGCTATAGATTGACTGAAAAGCAACATCCCTTGAAATTTCAGCATCTTACTTAAATACGGAGTAGGAGTTTTCTTAAACTGTGTTTCTGCAAGATAAAATAGTGATAATTTGAAGAAATTGAGTATATTTGCGTCTTAATACAAATGCTCCGGAAACTACCAAAGATAACTGATTACTTTACCGAGGGGATTGATTTGAACGTACACGGGATGCAGAAATAAGTGACATGAAAATAACACCTGAATCACAAACTTCATGAAGAAGAAATGACATCGAAGGAAACTTCATACTATCAAAATAGAAATATATTTCATGGAATCCTCCTCAAATAAAAAATCTGGGGTTTTTTGTGGCAGGTTAATGTAGTGGAAATGGAAAGCTTTCAAAACAATATATAAGCATTACCCCTGATATTCCGCCTTCCAAATAACTTAAAATTTTAACAGCACACTATTGAAAATGACAGACATAATCCTGCACACATGAATAGTCATCCATAACTTCGAAAGACGGACACCCGGCGCATGAACAATCTCGGTGGGTCAACAGGAGACTTTATAAAGACGTATAAATAGATGTCTACGGGTGTGAGGCTAACAACTCCGTCAAGCAAAAATAAATCCACTGCTAATGAGACTTCAAAGCTCAAAGTCTGTGTTCCGCTTGGAACGAAAAGGAATAAAGGAAAATTACATATTTGTACACACTGATATACAATAGATGCCGCGACTTATCTTCCGTTCGAATGAACAATAGCCGTATGTAGGCAAACTATTAAGCATACTACGGTTTTTAAAAAGTGACGAAGCATTAATTATATCCATAAGTATGTTTAAATATCCAATACTATTTTTCAAGATAGTGTAAATTGATTTTTTGGGCCCGTTATTCTGTTGAAAGGTAAAGGCCCATGTTCTCCGGCAGACTTCTGTGTGGTTCATCCCACCACTCGACTGTTATAACTTTGGTCGACTCTAAGAGAAGCGGTGCTGGGATTGCTTTATGTATATTGTAATATGCGATAGGTTAAAACTATGTCGTTACTGAGAATGGAGTTGATCCTTCAATTCATTAGTCGTCTGGTGTGGTAGAAAAGAGATCTCTTTTTTATTATTACTATCTCAAGACAGTAATTACCATCATTATATATTATCAGTATTATATATTATTACTTTAGATTATGTGGACTTAGAAAAAAGAAAACGTAAAAATTTATACTTATCTGTTAACAGATAGATCGTGAAATCTGAAATTAATGATATAAGTGAATAAATAGATAGAGTAGTCAGAAAAGTAAAACAAAGGGGAATGGGTAGTAATAAAACTACGAGTTAATAAATAATCTTAACCCCAGGCTATATGACGAATAATCTAAACTTACTTTCTCAAGCCAAAAATTTTGGAAGCGCACTCCAAAAGCTCTATGACTGTTGGATCAGCTACAGCTGTTTCGTAAACATGAAATTTGTTCAGAAATTTCAGTCGAAGACGCATTTTTAAGCAGCCGCTTATGCATGACCTTCAATTGGGAGGTCCAATATCCAATATCTTTTTACGAGCTAGTATAAACCAATTTGATTTCTTTGCGCTCGCCTCTTGATTGTAAGGTAGAGGTTCCTGATCTTTGGTAAACATTTGTGTAGCTCGTCCCGCCACTCGACTGTCGTAGCTTTGGTTGACTCCAACAGGAGTAGTGCTGGGATTAATTATATGGCGTCTGTAGTATGAAGTGTGTTAAGACTGTTACTACTGTGAATGGAGTTGATCCTTTCACCAGGTAGTCTTTCGGTATCGTCGTCAATGGAAAAGAGATAATAATAATAATAGATATAATTAGTAAAGGTATTCAGACTAACAGACAGAGAAAAAATAAGAAAACGTAACAACAGTCAGTCAACCGGTATACATATATATATATAATATATACCAGTAATAATGATAATAATAATAATAATAACAATAATAATAATAAGTGTAGTTAAAGCTGTCAGGAGAGTAAGACTGAAGGGAATGTGAAGAAGTAAAACGACCAGTTTAATTGTCTATCTTTGAATGGTATATGCGATTTTAAGGGGATAGGCCATTTGGATACAGTCCTTGTGTCACTGCAAGGTTGTCCAGCCTTCGCTTAAAGGCGTCCACAGATGGTGCCATAGCTACATCTGCCGGTAAGGAATTCCAGGGACGGCAAACCCGCAGGGAAAAGAAGTGGGAGCGCACCCGACTCCTTGCCCTCTGATGAGCTATCCTTCTGGGATTTCCACGAGGGAGCCTATACCTACTCAATGGCAGAGCACCTTTGTTCGGGTGATTCTGATCATTTGTTATTTTGTAGGCAGTAATTAAATCCCCCCTCAGGCGACGGTAACTGAGTGTGAATAGGCCTAATTTCTTCAGCCTTTCGTCATATGGTTTATTTCGGAGACCAACCACTCCTTTTGTTGCCCGTCGTTGGGCTCTTTCCAAGAGGTTGGCGTCTCTTTTAAGCAGTGGGGGTGCAATGATATTATGCACTTCAAGATGCGGTCTGACGTATGTTTTATACAACCTTAGAAAGAGCTCAGGAGTGAGTGCACCTAATTGTCTATGTGTAAAGTGTATGACCGCATATGCCCTCGCTACATCCCCCGTGTAATTCACGCTTGTGTCCATTTTCTCCGTTAGAACTAGACCTAAGTCACGTTCCGACGTTGAGCAGGACAAGCTTTCATTGCACAGGGTGTAACTTGCATTCTGCAGTCTACAGGTGCGTAACTTCACTACTTTGCACTTTTTCAGGTTGAAAGTCATTCCACTGGTTACCGCCCAGTCTTCCAGAAGCCTTAGATCTGCCTGCAGCCTATCTGAGTCCTCCGGACACTTTACCGCCCTCCATATCTTTACGTCATCAGCGTATAGAAGAGTCGGGCAGTTTAGACGGCATGGTAAATCATTGATAAAAATCAAGAACATCAGTGGTCCCAGGATAGAACCCTGCGACACTCCTGATGACGAGCTGTGCCAAGATGATCGGACTCGATTGACCTTGGTGCAAAATTGCCTTTCAGTTAGGTAGTCCTTCAACCATGACAGAAGTGGTTTACCTAGACCTACCTGGCTTATTTTGTGTAGGAGAAGGTCATGGTGAACAGTGTCAAATGCCTTCTCAAAGTCTAGAAAGATCACATGGACAGGAACATTCATATCCCAGCATGATGTCCAATCGTCCCAAGCTGATAATAAGTTAGTGACGCAGGATCTTCCTTTCCTGAAACCGTGTTGGGCTTCATGGAGTATTTTAGACCTATCCAGATATTCCCTGATGTGATCATCAATAATACTTTCCAGTACTTTCGATACCACTGGGAGTAGAGCTACTGGTCTATAACTGGTGGGATTTTGCCTATCCCCACCCTTGAAGATCGGAGAAAGGATGCTTCTTTTCCATTCCTTTGGCAGTTTCCCCGATTCCATGGAGTGTTGGAACAAGTCGCATAAAGGCCTACAGAGAGCTTCGGCGCACTGTTTCAGAACAGATGGCCTGATGTCATCACAACCTGGGGACTTCCCAGGTATAAGTCGCTGCAGCTTTCTCAGTACTATTGCAGGGTTTATTTGAGGGGTGGCTATTTGGTCTTCCTCCTGTGAAATAGTCATGCCACCATTTTGGTTCGTAACGGTAATACCCACATTGCTGTTTAGCTGTTTGGCGAAGGCTAAACTGAATGTTTCAGCCATCTCCAGACTAGTGGGATATTGACCGTTTTGGCCTACTAAGGCGCAAGCCCCTTGGTTGGTTGGTTTCCTTTCCGACATGAATCGGTACAAATTCTTCGGGTTTGCCAGGAGTTTTTTAGCAAGGTTAGCCTGGAATGACCTTCTGTCCCCCCCGACTCTTGCATTGCACCGGTTCCTGAGTTCCAGGTATGCATCATGGTCGATCTGGCTTCTAGATACGCGCCACGTAAACCAAGCCTTCCTCTTTGCTTGCAGAATACGCTGCGTGCCTCTCTTTAACCATGATGATTTTCTTTTTGGCTGTGCTGTGACTAAAGGGACGGTATCCGAGATCGCCGTATGAATAATCTTTTTTACCGCTTCCCAGTGTTCATCCACAGACAGCTCATCCCATGCTAAGGGCCAGTCTGCATCGAACAAGAGCCTCCGCATTTCAGCGTAGTCAGCCTTGCTGTAACACAGACATGGTTGCGTAGCGTCCCACTGCAAGTGCTCACGGAGAACGAGGTCGAAACCTATGACTGCATGGTCACTACTTCCTAGAGGAGTCATGACCTGGACCTTTTCGACGAGTAGTTGGTCACTAGTTAGAATGTAGTCTAGTTTTGATGACTTTCCACTAGGGCCCCACCTAGTGTCGTCTCCAACATTCTCAGTCAGTCCCGTGTCCCGAATAGCTTGCAGTAGATTTCGGCCGAATTTTCCCTTAGCGTACCCCGAGCCAAGGTTCAGTGATGGGGCATTGAAATCTCCAGCAATGGTGATTTGGTCATAGCCCAAGTCTCGTATCCCTGTGATAGTGCTGAGCAGTAGCTGATTGTGCTCTGCCCCACAGGTGGGAGATCGGTAGATGCCACCAAGTAAATGCTTGGTGTGGCCTACGGTGAAATGACACCATATGGAGTCTGGGAGTTCAATAAGTGGTGGGTCCGTTGCGCGAACACATTTAAGTTGCCTATCAAAGTATATGGCAACTCCCCCTCCTTCCTTATTGTCCCTGTCTCTCCTGACCAAAACCATATCACCTATACTGATTTCATTATCGGCGATAGTGGGGGTTAGCCATGTTTCGGTGAGAATGATTATTTTCAGTTGTAGGTGTGCTTGGAGATTTCGGAGTTCACCTATTTTTACTCTCAGCCCCCTCACATTGCTATACAGGCAGCTGACAGTGAGTCTTACAACCTCAGCGTGTTGTGGGGTAGTTGACGTGAAGCTATCTGCTGGTAGGGAACTTAGTGTTGGGACTAATTGGCCAGTTCCGATGGAACCGGCCCATTGTGGTTTTTTCCCTTGGATTTAGGCAGGACACTTGGGTGGCACAGACTGTTATTCTCAGAACTGCATCGCTCGAGTGTCACTGAAGCTTGGGGACGTATTAAAGCCTCAGTTTGCTGCCTCCTTATGGTTCGAGGTCTGCTTTCGCAACATCGGATGTTTCCTCCCAATTTCCCCTTGATCTCATACCACCGTTGAAGTGTTATGGCCAACTGCTCTGGGGAGTTGAATGTGACACTAAGCAGCCTTGGGGAGCTAATCAGTGTGAGATGAGCGGGGCGAGGTAGTCGGTAAACGGAGACGGCTCCAGAAGCGCCAAGGGCCATCTGAGACGACATCCATCTCCACTGCTGTACGTCATGCATGTGTTTTTCACAGGCAGTGCCCGTTTCCAGCTCCGGGACACCGTGCACTACCATAGAGGTGGAAGGCAAAAGTTCCGGTGACTCCCTTGCCATTTGTCTGACAGCCCATGGTCTGTCTTGTCTCACCCTTATGTTAGAGCTTCTGTCGATGGCTAGTACCTGAGCCATCAATAGTACCTTTTCGGCCTCTTCGGCAGAGTCCAGTGTAACCCGTTATGGGGGTGGCTTACCTTGAGGTGTGTGGACACCCCTGTACAGCCTGCACAATTTCACTGAACTAATGTTCAGACCTAGTTTATTGCACAGGTTGGACCACTGTTCCTGATCAAACAGGGCCCGCTGTTCAAGCAAGCTGTCCTTGTTCACAGGTACGTTAAAGAGGATGAGCGAATTAGACCGATTAACCTCAGACTTAGGTTTGGCCTTTGGCTTCTCATATTCCTTTGCAGCATCAGCAACTTTAGGCTTCATCGGGTTCTGACCAGCCTTTATTGTGTTGCCAAGCTTGCTTGTGGATGCAAGTGGTGCTTCTCTAACTCTATCTTTCCTTGATTTTTTAGGTCCAACCTTATGAATCTTCACCTTGTGAAGATTGGCATTTTCCAGATATTATAGATTTATTGACTGAGGATAAAGGCCTTGAAATCTACATTAATCCTTTTCTGATAGGTTTCTGTGTTAGTTTAAAAACTTCCTGAATAGTTCAGTTGTAGGTACTGACTCCACTTCTTCTGGGAGTAGGTTCCAAGACTTTATGACTTGTTGGTAGAACAAGTGCTCCACGGTGATATAGTTCCTCCCTGACTTCTGAACTCTCCTACTATGTAATTTGTGATGCTTCCACTTGTTGGGAAGGAAAACCGAAGATAAATCAGGTCTATAGTCATTTATTAGATTTTCAAACATGAAATCTCCTCTCTGACTACGGCATTACAAAGAGTAGATATTCAAATTGGAAAGCCTCTCCTCGTATTGAGAATTTGCTATACCAAGAATCATACGCGTTGCTTTTCTTTGAAATCTTTCTAAAATGTATGAGTACCCATTAAGATACGGGGTTGCTGTGTGGATGCAGGTTTCCAGTTTTAACCACCCACAGATGTATATAAAGAAGCGAATATATCACCGGCAATTTTAGTGAATGCTCTATGTGTTGCTCATAGTGT